CAACCAACATCAACCCCCCTCGCCTTTCATGGTTTTATTTTACAAAGGTTAGCAAACATGTAAATCTCCAGCTATTTTCTTGGTTTTTTACGCTGCCTATTTTTCCTATAAAACGAACAGATCATTTCACCTTGGGAAAGGGGCTATATTTACTTAAATGCCTACATTCTGGTTGCCAGTTATAGCACACATTGATATTGTAACCAGGAAGGTGATTGTTTCACTACATAACATATTTACTATGTCTTTCAGGTCCAAATTGGACACGTTATACCATTATCTTTATTGGAAAGACTTGATTGGACCTTAAATCCATTTGGATCTCAATTTTGGGAAGAGTCTCGTACCCTGGGTCCCAAAAACAGCCTTGTTTCACCTTGCAAATTTTCTCTCTGCTGCTTACCTTGCCATAATAGATAAAGAAATACATGGTTATAGTGGAATCAGCTAGAGAATACGGCTCTTCCCCAGATGAAGCTTTATGTAGACATATGGCAGAAACCGACACCAAAACTTTGTCTTTTTCCAGCCTTTCTTTGCCATCTTCCCAATGCTGATGCTACTCAAAAAATCCTTCCAGCTAGATAGAGGACGAGAAGAAAAAGGTGAGGCTGGGTGGGCACACAAAGCCCTTGTAAAAAGGAGCGTCAAGCTACATCTGCACTGCAAAAAAAATAATGCAGTTCTGACACCGCTTTAACAGCCATGGCTCAATGCTATGGAAACCTAGGATTTGCACTTTTGTGAGATATTTAGTTTTCTCCATCAGGGAACTCTGGTGCCATGACATACGACGAATCCCGGGATTCCATAGCATGGAGCCATGGCAGTTAAAGCGGTGTTCAACTGCATTATTTCTGCAGTGTGACTGCAGCCTTACTGTCAGAGGCTTTGTTCATTGAGATATGCTTCTTTCCCAAGCTACATAAGTTACAGTTTAGGGCCTCAAGGATGTATATGTATAGAAGATTTTGCAGCTTTTAAGCTCAAAAGTGTTACAACCTGTTGTCGACAGCTAATTCAGATTGTTGTCACCGTTATTACTCATTTATATCATGCTTTTCCTGTGCAGAGTGCTTTACCTCTATCCTTGAGCCTCTAAACATGTAAACTTCATCATTCTAATATCATCATTTAACCTAATATAACTGCACCATTGCAACCAGGGAGAAGCTTAGTATGGTGCAGGGGCAGGACCCTTCCCCAGATCCAGAGGCTACATACCTCCAACAGGTAATTACTTGTTACTGTTACTGAAGTCCTGAAAGTAGCTTACAGGATTACTTGTTGCTCACATTCAAAGAGCTAGCCATGAAATCA